AGTTCCACCTGGAGTAAATCCACAAGCTACCCTGCAGTATACAAAGTCATTCAAACTAGCTGCACCTTTACCAGCTTTGAGAACACTTGATGATCAATCATTATAAAACATATCATATATATTATTCTGAAATGGACCAATCTGCACAACGACTACTTTTACTGTCGCTACTTTCACTATATTTTGATGAGAATACTTTTCTACTTTTACTTGAGGAACATTTTGAATGCAGTACTTTTACTGTGACAGAGTATTCCTACACTCTGGTACTTCTACTTTTACTCAAGTACAAGATCTGAGTATTTCTGCTTTTAATCAAGTACAAGATCTGAGTACTTCTACTTTTAATCAAGTACAAGATCTGAGTAGGCCTACTTCTACTTTTACTCAAGTACAAGATCTGAGTATTTCTGCTTTTAATCAAGTACAAGATCTGAGTACTTCTACTTTTACTCTAGTACAAGATCTGAGTGCTTCTACTTTTACTCAAGTACAAGAGCTATACTTATACCACCTCCGTTTATAGCCTATGAAAAAAAAACTATTAGAAAACGAAGGCTAAAGCTAACGTTAGCAGATAGTGACAATGTATGCTAGCTAGCTAGCTCAACGATAATATTGCGACAGAAAAACTTTTCAGTGCACATCACGCTCTGCGCTCCGACAGGGAGCTCTGCTCTGAACACCTGAACGGCCCGTTCTAACAGCTGTTCACCAGCGGTCCAGTCTGTACCACAGTGACTCCGGACCGCACAGTTAATATTAACGAACGCACCCGTAGGTAATGTGGCTGCTGAAGCTAGACCATCATCGCGGAGCAGCAGAGCCGACAGGCAGGAAGACTCGAGCACACAGCTCGCGCTGCATTATAATATATAAAAAAAGAACACCATGCGTGTCATGACGGCACATAACAGCTCGCGGCCGCAGATTACTCCGGGTCCCCCCATACCCCAAACATATTTTTATTGCAGATCTACATGAATCACACAAACGACCTATTTTGGATTCAAAACGGCGAATTTCGCCGAAAGGTGAGTGATTTTCATGCCTGTTTCTAAGATGCGGAGCCGGGCTTCTATGGCTATGATTCCCACCTCCAACCTAACAACTACTACATTTAACACACGTATCGATACCAGTAAAGGTAGGGAAGTAACCAAACATGAGACAGGAAGAGCAGGAAATAACACCCGAGGGTGGGGAAAGAGCCATGGCTAGCTATCAAGCTAGAGTAGCTCCCGTTAGCAAACCCGAAAAGAGTGTAGGCAACTGTGGAGTTACAGTCGCTAAAGGCCCTGTCACACTGTCCCGAAATTGACACCCGATGGACACACGATAAAGGAAATGTTCAAATTCGGCTGTGATCGTAGCAACATCGGGCCATTTGTGAGGGCATCTTAAGCCATCGTATGACCGCTGGAGTTTCTCAGGCTCCGGCAGCAACTTCGTGAGCGGCAACTTCGTAAGGCATCGTGAGGGCATCTTGTCAAATCGTGTCATCTTCGTGTTATCATCGGTGCATTCACCCTCACTCTGATCGGGGCGAATGCCCGATGGCACCGATGATAACAAGATGCCCTCACGATGGCCTTACGAAGGGCACAATTGACACACGAATTCAACACGAAAATGAACCTTCGCAAGGTCCTTCGGTAATTTTTTGGCATGCCAAAGATTTTGCCACCGCTCACGAAGATGCTGCCGGAGCCTGAGAAACTCCACCGGCGGTCATACGAAGGCTTAAGATGCCCTCACGAATGGCCCGATGTTGCTACGATCACAGCCGAATTTGAACATTTCCTTTATCGTGTGTCCATCGGGTTGTTTTATTGCACAACAAAATCATGTAAATATATTATGTAAATAACCCAATTTGTGTTCTGTGAAACTAAAAAGGATATAATATATTATTTTGAAGGACAGTTGACAGGAAGTTGTTGTTGTTATGGAAACAACATTACGGAGAAAACGTAATATTTTCTACATATAACGACGGATAAAGGAAAGAACAAAGTCTGAAGATATCAGTACAGTATCATAGTACTGTAACATAATTGTTTTTGGTACTTTCATTGCAGTTGTATGTCTTAAATGTAATGTAAATGTTGCCTTCGTGTGTGGTTCGGGGCCATCTTCGTGCGAAATTCACAATTCCATATTCGTGTGTCCATCGGGTGTCAATTTCGGGACAGTGTGACAGGGCCTTAAGAGAAGGAGAGTTGTGAGTGCTTAAGCTGTAGTAACGTGTGATTACAACGTCAGGCAGTTGCCGTGATCAAGAGTTTTAAAACGATCGATTAAGTTAAGATAATAAGCTATCAGCAACAGAACAGGCACACGGGATACCCGGAGATGACAATGGGTCTGAATTCTCCCGTCTTCTTGGGAACCAGGAAGTATATGGAATAAAGCCCCTTTTCTCTGTGCTGAGGGTGCACGACAGACACCGCCTATTTTTGCACCAGGGCCTGAATCTCTGTTGAAAGGAAACCTATCTCCTCCTGGGATGATAGATGTGCCTCTCTTATGCCCCTGAATGGAGGAGGGATGCTGCAAAACTGGAGTGAGTAACTCAGTTTCAGTGTCCTGTCCATCCACTTTGTTAATACACAGCTGAGCTTCCATTCCCCATAACACTCTGTTAGGGGACACACAATCAGCTGTGGAGCCACAGCTAGAAAGCTGTGGTACTCCCTGGTGACCCACTCCGCCGCCAAACTCTCCATGAAGGAAGTTCGGCCCATGGGGGGTCGACACAGAAAGGGCCGATTTTCTACTGAATGTCCCTGAACGCACCGCGGCGCACTCTCGTTGGAGCGCGCGCTCCGCCATAATGCAGCCCCCACCCAGACGGTAAAATGCATTGATTTGAGTTTTACGCTAGGCGCAGTGTGTCTCCTAACAATAACACGCCGGCCATAACGCCCCTGTACCCGCATAGCGCTTTGATAGCATTTCCTGTGGTTTATCACTCTCACATGCGCATGCCCACTAGCTCCTTCCTTTACTGGAGTTACAACTGGGGCGGCGAGTGGGGAATCGGGACGCTTCCTCCCACCGCTAGTCAGCTCCGGGAGGACGGCGCACCCCACCCAGAAGCCCTCTGCTGAGGTGGAGCCTGCCAGGGTCGGGCAGCCCGTCCCCGCGAATGCCCGTATTGAGCTGGTTCCGCGGGACGAGCCAAGGAGGTAGAGGGAGCAACAGGAGCCGTGGGGGCTCTGTACCGGCGCCTCTCTCTCCTTCTCATCGTACCGCCGCGCTCCCTCCCCTGAGGAGGAGCCCGAGGAAGAGCCAGCGGCAGCATGCGGCTGAGCTGCACTCTTTCTTCCTCCAGACGACTGAAACGCTGTGTGACCGAGGTGATCGATCCAAAGAGCCCCTCCGTGAATACGGGGGCCCCAAGGAGATAATCTCCATCCTTCCTGGACAGCGCGGTGAGTCCCAACCACACGTGACGCCACACTGTGGCCAGGGATATCACGCGTCCAGCAGCGGCGGCTACACCGTGGATCAGATTGTTCATCTGACCAATGCAGCGGTCCGAATAATCGCTCCCGTCCTGAGGTGGGGGGGCGGGGGTGTCCTGCTGAGATATGATCAGCGAGACACCCAACGCACCGAGATTATTGGCCGCCGCCATCTGCATTCTGAGCCGGAATATTTTGTCCAAATATTCCAGGATATCTCGGTCCTGTGGAAGCAGATGGGCCGCCAGGCTTTCATCAAGCACGCCGGGACACACTGTGTCCGAGCGGCCCTGCACCCTAAGGATTCCCACCATAGCTGCCACTGGAGCCTTCGTCTTGAGTGGCTGCCGCCACGTCCTCTCCACACACTGCCATATATCTGGCAACGGGGGCGAAACGAAGGCCGGCTGCGCCGGACGAACCGGGCCGTAGAACCCCTGACGGAGGCGGCTTACCAGCTTTGTGGCAAACACAAACACAGTGGCGGGGTGAGCGGAAGGCCACCCGCTCCGCCACCATGGTCATCACCGCAGGGAAGTCCTGACGCGCAGACCTGTGCGGCGGACCCTCCTGGATGCCGGAAGTACCAGACAACGAGGCGTCCTCGTCGTCTTCCTCCTCGACGAATGGCACATCCTCGGCGACATCCTGTTCCTCTATTTCCACCACCTCGAGGTCCCGGGCTGCTTCTCAGGTCGATTAAATGAAATCCTTGCTTCCCTCACTTGCGTCGTTTCCCTGCGTTTAGTCCCTCCCACCAGGGAAGCATGGAGGGACGCAAGGAAACCACGAGAAGCAGGGAAATGAGTTTTAAGAGCAATGGGACGTCCTTTCCTCCGGAGCGTCACGTGAAGCGACGTCCGTTTGTGATGACGCTGCACAGCTGTTCGTCTGGCAGCAGCCAGCTCTGTACCCGTTATTTCCACAAACACCCCCGCCTCTGTTAGTGCACATTTACTGACATAAACATTAGTATCATCTGTTGTAGATCCAAATACATGAAATAAAATAAGAAGTCATTCTCAAAAAAGATAAACGCCATTCTTAAAATGTATAAATGAAAAAAGCGATCATGAAAATGTTTCCAATAAATGAATAAAAAAATGTTTGACCACTTTGTTGTTCAGATATATCACATATTTGTAACTAAATGATACATGAATTGAAACAAAACACAGTATAAACTGAGGAGTGAGTCCCGTGAGGTTCATGTATTTTCTTCACTCCGCTGGGAAACTGCTCTCATGTCAAGAAGCATCAGATCAGTGCATGCACTGCTTCGTCCAATCAGTGAGCGATACACAGTAAGGGGGCGGGGTGAGTATCTGAGGATTTCATCGGAGGATGGTCTGGTGGTTCCTCGGTTATCGCTCCTCCATGATCGCTCCTCGCTCCTCGATCCTGGGTCCTCCGGCAGAAATAAGAGCCATGGGACGGTACTCAAGATGGCGCAGGCAAATCAACTTCCGGTGAGACCGAGGACCGAGGAGCGAGGAAATGAAAATAGTCGACCTGAGAAGCAGCCCTGGTCCTCCGCCTCCTCCGGCGAGACATAATACGCCTGAAAGTGCTCCAGACGATGCCGGCGGCTGAGCCGTGGGAGCATACGACAGGCATTGCAGGCCGGAGACTGGGTCAGGCCGTCCGCGGTCACTCAAAACTGAGGTGGTGGGGATCGGCACCTGCGATTAAGCCAGGGCATGTAGGACAAAGCCGGGGCTCAAGGAGTGGTGAGTCCATGATTCAATTATCTTTCTCTTTCTTTTCTCGTTTACGTCTCAGTTGTTTTATCCTGCTCGCTGAAGAGAAAATGATGACAGTCAGGAGGCGAGGCCGCCTTTTATACGGTGAGCTTGCGCGCGCATTCAGGCTACGTTTATAGATATCTCAGTAGGTGAATGCTTGCATAGTATGGTTGAGAGGTAGTACCCATAGAGTCCAGTAGAGGGCGGAGCCTGTGTGAGATATAACACAAAAATACTGTTGTTATACTTTTGTTTTTCTCCAAAACAAATCGGTGCAACTTTCCTGCACAACACATAGTTACAGTTGTGTAAACAACAATGATGCCTCTGTCAAATACAGTAAATGGAAAGGAAAACTTTGAGGAAAAATAAATACAAAACATATTTTTACAAAAACAGAGGAAAACAAAGTGCTCAGGCAGCATTTGACCAGCAACTGGGTCTGAACACAGCCCCTCATCATCCTGCAGAAGAAGCATCACCTGTAGGCCAGATGGTCAAAACAGCTCCAACCGTTATGCTGCAAATAACTCTTCATCTGACTTCAGTTCATCCTCTCTCTCATCTTCCCTCTACCTCTTCCTCTTGCTGCTATCCATATATACAGGCATGTGTATTTGTTGATTGGTATGTAGCATTTTTAATGGCAGTGTTTTGAAAATGGCAAACAAGTGAATATGTCAGATGTCTGTGTCTGACTTAGGGAACCATGTGCAGTGTTTTGTAAAGTTGAATTGCAAATTGGGTGCAGAGCTGGACATGTGTTGAGAGTTTTGGAGATTTGAGCTGAGGTTTTGCTCTTAATAATATATAATAATAAATAATTGTGCTTTATGTGAGATTTTAGTGTGTTAGCAACTCAAAAAACTGTAATCTCAGTATTGTATCGTATTTAAAAAAACAAATTCAGATCTCTGCTTTATTCTTCTGGCACATGAATCCCGCTTGTTTTGTGATATTTTATGAATAGATATCACAAGCTTGACCGATACATTATCCAACATATCAGCTATGGAAGACATGAGGGGAATGAGTTCCACTACAACGACTCCCTGAAGACGCTGTCTGTCTCATACTTTGGTGAGCTTATCACATATGGTGCATGGCATTGAGCCTCATGCAGCTATATGCTCATAAATATATTTGTATCTTCTGTTAAAAGACAGGAAAAGACAGTACTGGTATCACAGGAAAATAGAAAAGCATCTCAGAGCAGTATGTAGCTATTCAGAAGCTGAACACATGCAATATGATCCTCTGAGGGTGATTATGATCATAACTAGAATACAGAGACTAGAATACTATTTCTTTAATAATCCAGTTATCTTAATACACCTAAAACATATAATAATATTCATTCAAACTGTTTAAACCCTATTATCATTAAACTTGGTGTGGAGCAAACAGATATACTGCAAATAATTGTATTCTTGTAAAGAAAGGCAAAATAGAGGAAAAGAGGAAGAAGTGTGAATACAAACAAAGATAAGAGGACTTTGGTTTTTCTGTCACTTCCTGCTGTGGACCATTGATCATTGTGTCCCCCCCCCTTTAGTTCATGACGAGTGGCCCCTCACAGTGGTGCATTACCACTGCAATCCAAACCAGTCCTTCTCTACCGTCCGCGAGCAGAGCCTGGGCGCTGAGGGGCCCCTGCAAATCTGGGTGGAGAGCCCCTGTGCCTGTCCAAACACCTGTGCCATGGGGGATCTGGGTCTGGGCACCATCTTCCTCATCATCCTCTCCATCAGTGCGGCTGCATACTTTATCCTTGGTAATGCTTTGTCTTATAGTCCGATTACATAATGCCAATATAGTATAAGAAACAAGCAAACTCTAAAACACCTCTTCTCCAGTCTACAGACCCAGAGGTAGGAAGTAACTAAGTACATTGACTCAAGTACTTCAGTACAACTTTGAGATACTTATACTGTAATTGAGTATTTCCATTTTTTGCTACTTTGTACTTCTACTCCTCTACAGTTCAGAGGTACATGGTGTACTTGTACTCCACTACATGTATTGAATACCTTTAGTTACTTCACAGATGTGGATGAATGATGTGAAATATAATCAAGTGTTAAATCAGACTTTAGTTCCACCTGGAGTAAATCCACAAGCTACCCTGCAGTATACAAAGTCATTCAAACTAGCTGCACCTTTACCAGCTTTGAGAACACTTTCATGATCAATCATTATAAAACATATCATATATATTATTCTGAGATGGACCAATCTGCACAACGACTACTTTTACTGTCGCTACTTTCACTATATTTTGATGAGAATACTTTTCTACTTTCACTTGAGGAACATTTTGAATGCAGGACTTTTACTGTAACAGAGTACTCTGGTACTTCTACTTTAACTCAAGTACCAGATCTGAGTACTCCCCCCCCCCCCCCCCCCCCCCCCCCCCCCCCTGTCCCACAGGCTCCTGTGCTCTGAGGCCTCTCCGCAGCAGCAGTGGGGTGCAGATGTCTCCGGAGCACAGTGTGTGGTGCATGCTGTGCTACCTGTGCACTGAGAGCAGGCCGCCCTCCCGACCCTACACACACCTGCCACAGTGAGCAGGCAGCTGCAGGGGGGGGGAGGCTGGAACACTGCAGTACATCTCTGCAGGTCATGTGATTAATATGTCTAAAACATTATTTTGTACTCATAGACCTTTAAAGACAAAATACTTATTTAAAATGTCTTATTTAGATACACTTATAAGAAAACATACTTTCCACAAATACTTTAAACAATTGATGATCAATTTTTTGTAGACAATTGTTTCACTGTAGTGCAAAAGTCAATACATTAGGTTTATAGCACATTAAAGCACTTCATGTATTCCCAAATGTAGTAAAGAACACATCCAAACTGTGCAAAGGCTGCAGTTAAAAACTAGACAACAAGAGTTAGTTTTTGTCTACTTACAAATGTTTAGAAGGAACAACCGTACCGGTCATGAGGCCTTTGGGAGTTTTTCATGGATCCAATTTGATTTGCCTGGCTTGGTATAGAAGACTAACACAGTTAATATATTTTATTCCAGCTTTTCAGGTATGACATATGTGACTGTATTAAAACCTTTTTACGAAGAAAACTTTATGGATAGATCATTACCAACCCAGTAACCCCAGGAGAACTGCGCACAGCAGCTGAGGCCCTCTGGGCGGGGCCCCCTGCGCAAGGCGGGGCCCCATGCAGCCTGCGTGATTGGCCTGTAGGGAGGGGAGGCCCTGGAACCACGGCAGACAGTCCAAAACTGGATTTGAACGGGTCCCATAATAAGAAGTGGCCAGTATTAAACTGTGTACATCCCTGGAGGTTTAGGGGATAGGAACACTCAAATTTAATGGGTGAAAATTGCTTGTGCCCATAATGGGCAGCATTACCCACATGCCAGCTAAGGTCAGAAGAGCTTTATTTAACAGCTGGTCTTATGTCTGTGACCCCTCCTGTTGTTCATTGATAAGCCTGAAACATGCACTTGTCAAGGTTCAGAGGCACATTTTGCAAATATGGCAGTAGCCATCGATCATCTTAAGATAAGATATACTTTACTGATCCCAAGTTGGAAACATTTGCGTTACATCAGCATGTGTAACAGTTGTTAATATGCAGTGGTGTTTACAACAACCACACACCTGAGGAGCGGGGATGGTGGGATCTCCTGGGAAGTGGTCTCCTCTGCTGAAGTCCTGCAGGAGCACAAAAACATAACCAGCAGATCTGTAGGAGGCCTTTACACTCTGCTAACTTCTGACTCCTAGAGGACTCTCCGCGCTTCCAGTCTTTCCTGAATATAACATGGACCTGTACAAATATGGCCACTTTCTGGTTGAAACTGCCATTTTTGATCCTGAAAATGTCAGAAATTGACTCAGTATCCCGAATAAGCCCCAAAACCACACGCAATGTTCCAAATCTGCCACCTCATTTTTTAACTATTGTCCCCAGGATATAATGCCATTAATACTAATTTACGCAACTTGTGTTCTTTTTGCAGTTTCTATGAGCTGGGGACCTGTACTATTTCTATCATAAAACCTTGGGGTACTCAACATTTCCAGGTTCCCATAGGACTCTATGAGCTGTCAACTATACTATTAAAGTTATGATTACCTACAAAAATATACTAATGACTAACATTCTATTTCTGTTACTCAGTACCAGGCAAAGCTCACCAGCAGGGGGGGCTTTGACTATGTGTAGCTTTATCACAGCTTTTTAATGACATTTAATCATCTTTCTAAAAAAGCGGCTGGATACTGCTTGACACATTTTGAACATACAAATATAAAGTAGTGCAGCTTTAACAGACTGACTGACTTCTAAAGTGTTTTGGGTTTACTAACAGCCCTGTGTCTTCCTCCACCTACATGATGTTTCAGAACATCTTGGAACTTCTCTGGCCTGTTTGTTGCATGGAGTGATTCCATGGATATAACAGATCCCATTTAGACCCAGTGGGCATGCCCTTACATGCACCCCAGTTATTGTAATTTATTGGGAAAATATGTTTTGTCTCCCCACCCTCCGACTGACATCACTTCTGAGACCAGCCTTGGAGCTCTGTTCCAGATTTTGGAAAGGAGGGTGAAAACCGAAGGTGTGACGCGGAAGATATTATCCGAGGAGCAGCTGGTGAAAATGATGCAGATGGCTGCCCTCCTATGACTCAAACCCCACCACTAAGAACTCCTACCTCATGAGTAATGGCTCCTCTCTCTCAGCGTTCTGCTCCTCATCATCACAGAGGAATGAAGGCAGATGGAGTTCTGAAACCATGGCAGCGCGGGGATGTCCGTGACGAGCCTGCCTCTCTTTGCAGGGCATTGTGGGACATTCTGGGAGGAGATGCAGATGTCATGTTCAGCCTGCCAACAATCCAAACAACAACAACTGTATCACCAGAGGATATCCAACAGGCAATTACCCTAACTGTACCAAAAACACTGCCGTCAGTACAAATAACACAGCAAGAATAGAAAAAATAACAACTTTCATGTCAATTGGCAATGAAATTGGATTATTTGTTTGTGTCACCAGAAATAAGTACAGCTGCTCCTGCACAAATCCAGAGTAAGAATTCCTATTGGCATATTGTCTGGATATGATTATGGAGATCTGCAGGCAGATGGAAGCTATTGTGTGAGTGTGTACAGTATGTGTGTGCTGATCAAAATGGCCTCTCGAGTGTTTAGCAAATCTAGCAATCTATTAGAAAGCTGCAGCTAATTCAGAACGCCGCTGCTCGAGTCCTCACTAACACTAAGAAAGTGGATCACATCACTCCTGTTCTGAAGTCTTTACACTGGCTTCCTGTGTGTCAAAGAATAGATTTCAAAATACTGCTGCTGGTTTATAAAGCACTGAATGGTTTAGGCCCAAAATACATTTCTGACCTCCTGCTAAATTATGAACCATCCAGATCTCTCAGGTCTTCAGGGACTGGTCAGCTTTCTGTCCCCAGAGTCAGAACTAAACATGGTAAAGCAGCGTTCAGTTATTATGCTCCAAATATCTGGAACAAACTCCCAGAAACCTGCAGGTCCGCTGCAACTCTGACTACTTTTAAATCCAGGCTGAAGACTTTTCTTTTTGTCGCTGCTTTTAATTGAACTATTCACATCTTAGACTGCACTGTAACTTTTATCCATGTATTTTTTCTTTTAATGTTTATTTTATTAGCTTTTCTTTTTAATCACTGATTTTAAATGCCATTTTCTTAATCTCTTTCATTTTTTGTAAAGCACTTTGAATTGCCTTGTGTTGAAAAGTGCTATATAAATAAACTTGCCTTGCCTTAGCAGTGTGAGTAAACAGCAGCTTTGTATCCCCCATTATCCATTTAAGCAACACATAGTTAGACCACAGAGGATGATACTGTCGGTTTCAAAAAGAATCAATCAAATGTGGTTTTGGTTTGATTGATTATAACTGTAGTATTTATCAATACTAAACTGCTTGTCTGTAAGATACCCTTACATATATATATATATAAAAGAGTGTTGGATCAGAATCTTTTCAAGCTCAGATTCATTTGTTATCCCCGTCTAAATGGACTCCTGTGGAACTATGCAAGTCAGAGTAAAATGTCAACAACTGATTACTTTGGTTTATAAATATTCTGACAGATTTTCAGTAACCCTTATTGCTCAAAATTACAGCATGTCCTCCAGCAGTGATAACACATTGATTTTGAATTAACAGCGTTGGATTGCAAGTTAGAGGAAGTTCCTCTAACAACATGGGAAAGGTGTGGATCAGACAGACACATGTCAGCAGCACACTGTGTCAGGACAGTAAGGCCGAACATACATACATTACATTATACTAAACATAATAAAGGAGGGTGGGCATTTCCTCCACATGGATACATGAAAACAGGAACACTTTCTGTGACACCTGTAAAGAAATCTAAAAAGACTTATGATGTGTTACAATCTGCTTATAGCTGTATATTCACCATCACTCAGAATGGTTAACAACAGCTAATGTGAGACGATCTCCCGTGAATGCTCCGTAAAGCTATGTGTTGTGATGTGTGTGTTTGCTTCCCCTGTTGCGGGTTCTGATCGCTCAGTGATGATCCTAATACCTCTACAATCTGTGGAATCTCAGCTTTAATCTGATATATTGTATGTGCAGTTACAATAAGTAATAAGGGTATTTCTACCTTGAGTTCTGTGCTAAGTGCGTTAGCATTTTTTTTGCTCAGGGCTCATTTAGATGCTTCTTGTGAGACTTGTGTTTTGTTTTGGTAAAAATGGTTCGTATTGCAGTTAGCTGAGTTTCTTCCCGTTAAATGGGTATGACATATTAATACGTTTTTAAATATTAAGAAGCCCTGAGACACAGTGTCGTGAAAAAACTACCCGCAGGACCCGGATTAGGGTCCTGCGGGTTTAACAGGTTAAGAAAAGTGTCTATATTGCACATTGTTGTTTATTGTACACAATCTCAACAGTACAATATTATAGGTAGACGTACTGAATGAATTCTCTTCATGGTTTATATTTTGACTACTTTAATTCTTCTTTATTTTAATTTAAATACATTTATTTTTTAATGCGGTAGGTGGACACCTGATTTATTTAACCTGTTAAGCCCCGAACCTGTTTTTCAGGTCTCAGGCTCAAAAATGACATTCCCAGAACAAGTGACTATATCTTCACTTCTAAAAGGGGTACATTAATAATCGTTTTTCTCAAAGCAATGATAAACCTGTGAGTTGGGTGTAGAAAAGTCAAAATCAATATAGATGTTTTTATTTTAAAGTAAATTGATTGAACATAGTAAAAAAACTGTAAATGATATTGTCCGTCCAAAAAAAAAACATTACTTATAGTGAAAACTACCCTTGAATGATGGGTTAGTAGACTAAAAGCTTTAGGAATCCAAAGTACAACATATAATAAGTACCCTGTATCAAGATTGATGCAAAACAAGTGAAAATTGACCTTTTTAGAGAGATTTAGCAAATAAAACCTACTTCTGGGGTCATTTGGGTGCATTTGACCTATCTCTGTCCCCCCTTGGTCGATTTTGATGATTGACATATCTTTGTAACTGTTAGAGCCAATGGAATCGAGGGGAAGTTCCACATAGACACACGTTACCCAGCGCCATATAGATAGAAGAGTTACGACATTTGGACCTGTTTTTTTACAGCAATGGCGGATCATGGAGCCCTCAATAGTTCCCCGGAAGTTAGCTTGCCGCTGACTTGCGGGGCTATCTGCGGCTAGCAGCACAGTAGAGTTGCAGCATAATAGACCGTTCGTGTTGGACTTTTAAAGGTAAGAAGACGTTTAAAGATTTATATTGCGGATATTATCAGCACATCTGAGTCAAATTTACTACACATGTGTATTAAAGGATGTTAGTGGATTATCCCTAAATCAGTATAATTAGGGAACGTTTACAGATAACAGATTAGGCTAGGATTCCAGATAAAGTTAGCAACACACGTTAACCACGAACAGCCTATTAATCCATTCTCCTAATGTTACACACGCGTGTGATTGTAGTGGGTGGAGGTGGTGAAATGAGGATATCCATCTTGGAGTTCAAGCTAGTATATTATAGTTAACGTTACACAATAATAAGGAAGAGAGCTATTTTTGTGATACA